GAGTAATTCAAGATCTAGCTGTTTTCACTTCCATTAAGAACGGTGGTGTGACTCATGGAAGCATCCATTTGTGTTATTTTGCATCAAATGTAATATTGTTATTTGTATTTTGTGTAAAGCCAATTTCCATGAGTACAGGTTAAGCCTGTCTGAGAGTGAGAAGTTTTAAAACTTAGATGTAAGATGTAAATACCTTAAAAACATCCCAGATCTCCATCTGCTTATTCATTCGTATGTATGTGTGTGTGTGTGTGTGTGGAAATTTAGGAGCATGTAGTCCTCGCCATTTAGGAAAGCTCAGCTGAGGCAGGTCAGCTGACTTTTCTCTTGTCCCCTGTGCCTCCTTGGGGGACTAGCCAGGTTTCGGAGGGGCAGGCTGTGTGGCTGGGAACATGACGGTGCTCAGTCACCGCTGACTTTTCCTGTGGTTGGTTATGGGAAACTGAACTCGGATGAGATGGAAACTGAACGAAGCTGCTACAGAAATGTGTGTCTCTTCGCCTAGTGTAGAAGCCGGTTGCCAACTTAAGATCTACTTAAAACCTAGTGGAGTTTGTTCCATTTCACAAGTACAACACTATATGTGTTTGGCTATAAATGAATATTGACTTAGGCTTAATATGGTTTATGCAGTACCGAGAACAGTGCTTGGATTCAAAGTATATTTGAATGCTAGGAGGATTTAGCTTGAAGTTATTATCTTAAGAATAATTTCCAATAATAACCTCAGAAACAGACAACAAGGATGGTATGGTGTAATGGGTTATTTGGATAGCTCTTTTGTGGCATTTATATGTTGAGTATTATTTTTGGAACTGAAGTCATACTGGAAAAGTATCCATTTACTATTCGCTCAAGGTGTTCCTTGAGCCAGCATTTCATTTTTTATTAGTTTCTTTGCTTATGGTTTCACAGGATATGGCGTCTTTTTGCCTTTAAAACACTTCTGTGCATTCGTGTTTGTATTAGGAAAATTTGTAAACTCACAGGTGAACATTAAAAGCTCAGAATTTGTGAAAATTTTAGGGCATATTTCAATTTTAGAGACATTTTGTTTTATAATGCTAATTGTACATTCCTTCCTAGATTAACTTCAGATACACAATTTACACGGGATAGCAAAGATATATAACTTAAATTTGATATAAGTGAATTTGCCACTGAAACATATACAGCATAAATTTGTTAGCCTCTGTGGACACCAAAAGAACCTTATTTCTGAAGAAGTACTTGGCTAGTGTACCCCATATTAAGTATTTGAGAAGTCAAATATCCGGAAGAGTTTATGTTTATCAGTTGCTGAGGATTTTTATCTATATACATTTCAGGATTAAAAAGTATATCATGGGGCCAGCAGATGGTGTGGTGGTTAAGGTGCTGGAATCCTACGTGGCTGACCACAGCTTAAGCTCTGGACCCAGTGGTGATAATCACACCGAGTGTGTGTGTATGTGTGTGTATTCCAAATCCCGAGAGGAGAATGGAGGAGAAGGGATTGTGGCATGACCATACCCCCTCAGGAGAGGGTGATTTCTCACTTTCTCCTCTGTCTCTTTCGTTCTGTCTCTGGAGTTAAGGTACCCTACGGCAAAAGCCTTTAAAAAAAAAATCAGGGACCAGCAGTTGGTGTAATGGCTGTGTCTCTGGACTCCCATGTGGTCGACCGCAGTTTGAGTCCCAGACCTGGTGACTTAAACTCACGCCGGGAGCATGTGCATGCGTGCCCAAGATCCTGAGAGAAGAATAAAGGAGAAGGGATTGCGGCATAGCCTTCCCCCTGGGGGGTCATTTCTCGCTTTCCGTCTCTTTGTCTCTGTCTTTCTTGGCAAGTGCATGTGCCCTATAGCAAAAACTTCTCAAAAAAAAAAAAATCATAGTATTGAGACATTGATGACTCAATCGTACAGAGTAGGAGGGAATATCCCAGTATAAATCAGAAGAATTGAATTACCTTCCACACATGCTTAGCATATGGCAGACCTAAACTGGCCGGCTCTTACAGTGTGTTGTGCTTATATTACTCCAGATAAAATTTTGACTTTTTTTGCAACGAGGCAGCAGAATCCATTTTATACCTTGTACACATTTTGCATTTGATAAAAATTTGGTTAAAACAATTACTGAAAGCAAGCAGTCAATACAAGAATTCTATTTTTTATGTATTGCTACAGATGTCACTATCTCCTGTTGATGGGCTCAAGAAATCAATCCTTTTTCTGTACTATAAATTTAAGCATGTCATCATTAACTGCTAAGTAGTAGAACCTGGATTTCAATCCTATATTCTAGATCTGGAGCCCCCATCTTTAAACATAAGGATCTAGGCCTGCCACAAGCCCACCTTTGTAACCCTCGCATTTATCATACTCTGTAACTCATATTTGTTTCCATAGACATTGCTTTATGGCAGGTATGCTTAATTAACCCATGATGTTCTTATTTTTCTGAACAGAGAATCAATATTTTAGTCAATATTTTAGCTATTTCCTGTAATTTTTGGTCCACCTACACTAACTACTTGTAAATGCTTCCCGTACCTTCCTAGTTTTAACCCACGTATCCTCTGTATTTCTGCATTGTTACAAAGAAATTAAGTCATCTCTAGCCATTGAAACTTTTTGGTTGTCTAACTTCCTAAAACATGAGTAACAAACTTAAGTTCTATTTATTTCAGTTGTTCTGTGTTTATAAATTTATATTTCCTTTTATTTGTCAAATATGTATCAATGATTTACTTTGGGGGGGGCGGGGAAGGGGTTTTTGCTATAGGGCGCGCGTGCTTGCCAGAAAGACAGAGACAGAGAGACAGAAAGCGAGAAATCACCCCCAGGGGGGATGGTCACGCCGCAATCCCTTCTCCTCCATTCTCCTCTCGGCATCTTGGGCACGCATGTACACGCGGCCGGCCGGCGTGAGTTTAAGCCACCGCGTCCAGGACTCGAACTGCGGTTGACTACATGGGAGTCCAGTGACATAGCCATTAGACTAACTGCTGGTTCCTCAATGATTTACTTTTTTTTTTTGGAGAGATTTTCGCTATAGGGCGCGTGCGCTCGCCAGACAGACAGAGAGAGACATAGAGACAGAAAGCGAGAAATCACCCCCCAGGGGGGATGGTCACGCCGCAATCCCTTCTCCTCCATTCTCCTCTCGGGATCCTGGGCACGCACGCACACGCGCCCGGCGTGAGTTCTAAGCCACCGGGTCCGGGACGCGAACCGCGGTCGACTACGTGGGAGTCCAGCGACATAGCCATTACGCTAACTGCTGGTTCCCGTCAATGATTTACTTTTGACAACTTCTTTTATTTCCCTCTATTCTCCCCTTGTGTGGAAAGGGCAGTAAAAAACTGTGACGGGCAAACAAAACTAAACAACGTGAAGACTTACACGTGGTCAGTGGCAGCATACTGTATTACTTTTAACCTGCTCTCTTCAAAAAATTGATTAGCCCTTGTAATTGTACATGACTGTGGGTATAAAATATGATTTTATAGGCGGGTCGTTAAAGCACTGGACTCTGTATGGCCAACTATGAAGTTCATGACCTGGACCTGGTGAATTAAAAAATATATCAGGTGTGTGTGCATGCATGCCCCAAATCCTGAGAGGTGATTTCGGGGATGGTTCCTCATGTTCTTTCTGTCTCTCTGGTGAGCACACATGCCCTTTGGAAAAAAATTTTTAAAAACTACAAAAAATATTAATTTTACAGTATAAGAATACAGTGTGTAGGGACCAGCAGGTGGCCTGGTGGTTAAGGTACTGGATTCCCACATGACTGACCAACCATGGTTTAAGTCAGGGATCTGGCAGCTTGAAAATCATGCTGGGTGTATGTGTGTGTGTGCCCCAAATCCCAGAAGAATAGAAGAGAAAGGATTGTGGCATGGTCATTCCCCCTGGAGGGTGATTTCTCACTTTTCCTCTCACTTCATTACTCTATGTCCTTCAAGTGCATGTGCCCTATGGCAAAATAAACAAAAACAAAACAAAACAAACAAAAACAACCTAAAAAATTAAAAGAATACAATATGTAATGATTTAAAATTTTTTTAAATTTAGTTTTATGTATTCACTCATTTATTTTAATTTGGCCAGGCACACACACACACACACACACACACAGAGAGAGAGAGAGAGAGAGAGAGAGAGAGAGAGAAAGCAAGCTACCAGGTCCAGGACTCAAACTGTGGTCGGCCATGTGGGAGTGTCCAGTGCCTTAACCACCATGCCACCAGCTGATCCCCACAATGTGTAATGATTCATTTAGGATAATTATCATACTTGTCATGTCAACCATCTGTCATTACTTGTGTTGAGAACATTTAAAATCTTACTCTGAGATACGTAGCAGTTTGTTGCCATCTACAATATATTCCCCCCCACTGTATTTTACAACATAAGACATTATTCAGCTCTCTA